TAATGTTATTGGCAGATTGCTGTGGTTTCAGTAAGTATACTATGAGATTATCTTTTTAGAAAATTGTCTCCTACTTCAAATTGATTAGTGGTCATCTAAGAAAACACCAGCCCAGCCACTTATGTGTTAAGTTAGCTGAGGTGAATGTGAGATAAAATGATTTGGTTTGAACACACGTATGGAAACAGGAATAGTTTTAGCTCTTCCAAGGTTTAAAAGTTTAAAACTTAAGAGGTCTCTTCCATGGTCAGTTTACTGGAGATAAGTTTGCTTTTGGTAAATTTTCTAGATTTATTATTAACAGCTAAATGATTAAATGAGTAAATGAGGAAAAGTAGCCAGCTGAGATACTTTGCAGTTTAATTTGGTGGCATTTAATTTTGAGTGTTTTATATACTTAAGCAACTAAAAATGATTTAAAAGTGTAGCTTGATTATATTTGGGTAATTTGAGACAATTATGTCTTTTATGAAATTGAACAATTTTCTGCGGAAGAGTTGATTTAAAAAATTGATAGATAGTTGCATTCTCACCAAAGGCACTTTTGGAGGATTGTATGTGCGCACCCGTGTTTGTCCTTTTAAACCTTCAGATAAATGTGTGCTGTAGACACAAGTGATAACTAATGAGTTTATTGGCTTTTGCTAGATCTAAAGCAAAATCCTGGCATTTAACAAAATAGATGCTACAAATCAATAGTGCTACTGTGTTTTATTGTGGGAAATTTCAAACATATTCATAAGAGAATAGTGTCAACACCCATGTACCCATGTACCAACATCAACAACTTTTCACTCCCCCGTTTTCCTCCCATGGATCATTTTATAGTAAATCACAGGTATTTCGTTCACTTCAGACTGTGTCTCTAAAAGATAATAACTCTTTCAAAAATACATACATATGCACTTTAAAGTTTTAATGATGTATATGCCATACGGGCATTGTCGCATAGCAGTGCCTCTTGAATGCTGTTGATTATTTCATAGCTTGGCTCTCCAGCTTTGTAATAGTGGTCTTATATATTTCTCATAGGCAGGGTTCCCCTGTGTGTAGAAAGAAGTGCATTATTAAGACAATGTTTCTGCCAGGATTAATGACTTTTACATTCAAATTAAATTTTTAGTTTCAAAAATTAACATTATATAAGATTCTTAATTTTTAAAATTATTTTTAAAATTCACTTTGTGTGAACATATGGAGAAACATTTTTTCCAAAGGGCATCCTTTGTTTGCTCATGCAGATTTTAAATTGTGGATGCAGGTGGCCAATTAAAAAACACAGTTATCATTTGCTTTTGAAATTTAATACAAATAAAAGGCTTGATTCTTTGAGGCTCTTTGAAGTTGGACGGAAGGAGTCAGAAGGTGGAATCAGGTAAACAGTATTCTGTCAGAATAGATTATCCCCATTATTTTTTACTGTAGTGTCTTGATTTGTTCCTTCACAGCTCTAGCCTCATCTTTTATATTTACTTGTTTAATTACTTTTTTGCCTGCCTCTAGGCTAAAACTGTAAGCTTCTTGAAGACAGCATCTGTGACTCTTGTTTTCCACTGTATCCTTATACCTAGAATAGTTTATGGCATATAGCATATGCTGTATAAATACTTGTTGAATGATTGAATGAATGAATCAGTAGATGTGTTTAACGCATGCAGCAACTACTTGGACAAACTTTTATAATAGCATAATGGGGGGGGGTGATAGGATTCTTGTTTTGAAATCATCCCCAGTGTTTCCTCCATTGCTTGATTATCTATAGGGAATCACTTAGATAGGAGTTCACGTGCAGAGGGAGAACGGCCTTATGCAGCTCACTTTGGAAAAACTGGCTTGAAATAGCATCCAGATCAGGAAAAAAGCCAAAAAACAGACACCATGGCCAGAGTAAACCACAGGAGAGCGCATTGTCCTGTCTGGGAATAAAGTTCAACACTTACCTGCCCAGACAGAATAGAGACTATGATCAAAGAACGTTTACCTTAGCACCTTTCTTTCGGTAAAAAATGTCAGGGAAATAAATTCCCACTTGTACTTTTGTGTCTACAAAGCATGTTTTAATGTAGCTGTTGTTTTATTTGCAATACCTATAGTGCACCTTTTTTCTAGTGCAAATGGGGAGAAATGTCTCTTATTGCAGTTTCAAAATTATCTACAGCAGATTAGAAAAATATGCTACTTTAAAAGTGCTATTTTGCCAGTTCCTCTAAGAGAGCCAGAAATGTAAGATGATGTGGCTGTATATTAGCAGTTAACCGAGTGTCATTTTAACTAACTGGAAACGGTTCTCTAAGGTCATTTATAATCTCAGTTTCTAAATTTCGTGCATGAAACAGCTACATTGTTGTACCTGTCACCTGTTGAGCAAGGTAAGGTAAGCTAGGATGGCAAGAATGCAGCATTGTGTACGCAGCAGGTTCCTTCGTCTCACTGTGTAGGTCATAAAACCATATTCATTTATTCTATAAATGCAAAGTGTCTGTTCTGTGATATATCCTGGAGTTAGGAAGATGAAGACTCCATCCTCGTTCACAGT